TCGTGGTCGAGGGAAACAAATGAATGAAAAAGCATTCTGCGTTAACTGCGTTAAATGTGTTTGAAATAATGACTGTCTGCAGTGTAAACATCTTTGTTACATCTTTTGTAAAATGTATGTGTGTGATCTGCAGGTTGGGGCCATTGAGAGTTTGTTTCTGTAGCTTTACAAAGACTTTACAGATTTTACATATTAGGCACTGGTTTTAAATTTGCAAAGGCCTCTAACTTCGATGTGATGGCAGCATTTACTTGCTGTGTCCCCATTTCCCTTGGTAATATGGCTAATGTGTTTATTTATTATTTGTGGGGCAATTTCAATTTGTGTTATTTATCTTTTTTTTCAAGATTTAAATGAAGCTCAGCGCAAGTTCTTTCAAGAAGACTGGGTGTTTATACATTCACTCCGCAGCTGCTTATAATCAGCTCATCACAGGCGTTCTCTTTAACCTATTACATTTCACCTCATTCTCCAGCAGCCAATCAACGTGCTGCAGCCAAACTATAAAATGTTTCTCCTCTCTCCTGCAGTCAGCTGTGATCTCAGGTGTTCATGCACCTTATCATATGGCATGTGTCAATAAATGTTCAAAATGAATTCTCTCCTGACTGAAACATCATGTGTTGAAATAAAAAACTGCATTTCAAAATAAAAAGTGAATTGCCTAATATGTTTGTTGTGGAATCAATTAATTTCTTTCTTTAAAGGCAAAAATATGAAAAAGCTAAGAAAAAAAACTATTGAATACAAGATGTTTGGAGCAACTTAATTTATAAATGGTTGTCAACTTAAAAACTTGTATCCCGAATGAGATTAATTAAGTACATACAACTTAAAATTCCTTTTAAATCATGTGGTAAAACTAGTCGGAACAACTTAATCTTTTGAGTAATCAACTTCAAAACTTGTGTTTATGCCACCAATTATTAAGTAAGTGTTAATTAAAAACCCTCTGATTGTAGAGGAAAAGCCTTCTCCCCTAACTCATAACTTTGTTGCTTTAAGACAATCTCATTAGAAGTTGTCTTAACTCAATAAACATCGATGCAAACTGTTGCGTTGATTTTCTTTGTTGAGCCAAGGCATTTGTTTTTAGAGTGTGTCCTGGGTAAAGATGCTTACCCAAAAGAAAGAGGAGAAACGATTTGAAGGTTTCTTTGGGATACAATATATCAACTCCAAATGGAGCAGTTAGATAACACAGGATGGAGAAGGGAATACTAATGAAATATGAAAGGACTTTTACTCACTTTAGGAAACTAACACGTTATTATCTCTGTTTCACTTTCACTTCTCATTTGAACCCAAACTGAAGGATATCTGTCACCCTAACCTCAATAAGTCGACTTCAATTCATTCCTTTCAGTTTCTCTTTGACTTTAACACAGTGCAAAGTGAATGTATGATAAAACCTGCACACAGTGCGCGTCCTCAAAACACCCACTGAGTGAGTTGATAACGGGAGTTGGGAGTTATAATTCCCAAAGAACAGAATATGTTGAAAAGCCAGGAAGGAATCCGGACGTGTGTGCTTGAAGTACGACGGGTACATTATTCATATTTTTGACATTAAATCCAACACTCTCCCTTCTCTTCCGGCTGCCTCTCCATCTCTGAATTAATAACCAGTCCCTCTCCTCTCATGTGCTTCCTCCCTCAAATCCAAACAGCAGCAGCCATTTTGCTGGCGTTCAGAGTGACTAATGTTTCTCTGCAGAGGAGCGTCTCTCTATCTGCAGAGAAACACATATTTACCCTCCTAACATCCCAAAGCCTCTGAGGACGAACCGTGAAGGAGCTCTGAGTCCAGATGCACACGCACACATGTTCCTCTCTGAGGAGCAGCAGACCTGCTTTGGCAGCTGGGTTTGGTCCAAATATCAGAAAACGGCAGTGATTTAGTTTTGAACTCCTGATAAAGAGTAAGAAGTGTTAGCTGCCGGCGAAGCTGCAGATCTGCTCGAGACTTTGAGATGTGTTGTGCTGCAAAAAGGCTGCAACTGCTTTTAAAAACATAACCTGAGGTGTTTGCAAACTGAGGGTCTTCAATGTGTTCACGCTGAAACTCAAACCAACAGTGATGAATCTCAACAAGTTGATTCAGAGCCTGAGACACAGAACCAGTGCCTTCCTTTGTCCTGTCCTCACAGAGTCTGATCAGATGCTCTCTCTGAGGATCAGTGTGAAGAGTTTATTAGACGCTGTGATGTTTCAAGCTTCTGTTCTAAACACAAAGCTCACTTCTCGGGCAGCTTTCTAACGCCTGGTTTACAAATGGAGTTAGGTGCACAGAAGCTAAATCTGCGCGATAAGTCATTAGAGCACCAAATCTAGATTAATCCACCACTGAAAATAGTCCCAAACAAAAGCACTACTTCCTCCCACTTGTCTGATCAGAAACTCAACTGAGCAGCTGCTTCACTCTTTTTGAATTATATTCCTGTGTTTTTTACAGACTGACGTCTTCAGTAGGACCACATGAGCTCACAGACAGTTTGGGTCTGAACACGAGACAATCATCCATACACAGACTTTTGACTTCAATATTTATAACATTCTGGTTACGGCTTGTCTGAAAACTTCTTGTTAAGATCTGTATTTTTTTTTGTAGGAACCTTGAAAAGAATGAGCCTTTAGGACCTGACACTGAACTGTAGATATCAGAGGAGCACCTGAACGCAACACTACCTCCTGCTGTTAGCTAATGTAGCTAACGCAAGAAGCTAATTATTTGGGGTAATTTGGGTTCAGAGGAAAATTGAGTTTGTAGATTATCCAACAAACACATCGTGGAGTTTCAGCAGCGACTCCAGACGGCTGATTGAACTTGACTTTGTCAAACTAGTCACCTTCTTTGAGATACATAACATACTGGAATGTCGTTTAGTTGTCTGCAGACGTGAGAAAAAGAAAGAGCAGTTCCTCTCATATTTCCATATCTGTGCTCGTTGTGCATCGCAGCCATGTGTCATCAACCAGTGATTTAACGCCGGCCCATTAAAAAGGAATCTCCGGTAACTTTGTCGACATGTTTTGAGCGCAGGCGCATCTGCACGGACGGACGAGCTGCGTCTGTTTAACGGGAGGCACTTCATTCAATTGTATCAGAGACGGGCTTCAAGGCACTAGAAACTAATTTCAGATATATCTTTGAAATTTGTCAAGATATTACTGCTGTCCTTTTCTTCAAGCTGTTTGTAAAAAAAAAAAGAAATCGGGTCACATTCACGTAAAAATGATCCCATGCACTCCGTCATCGAAAGATCAAAGCTTCAAAGAAATGAAAATGTTATTTCTGTAGTGTCTTTTTTTTAAAGAGATTGTCAGATATGTCTCTTCTGATATTTGTCTCCTTTGTTTTTTTTTAGCAGATTTGTCCCCTCCGCAGTTATCTCCGTCATGCACCGTTTTCCTGTCGTTAGCGTGACGTTAGCGTGTCGTTAGCGTGACGTTAGCGTGTCGTTAGCGTGTCGTTAGCGTGACGTTAGCGTGTCGTTAGCGTGACGTTAGCATGACGCTAACGAGGAGCATCTTCCCCGATGTCCCTCCACAACTGCAAGCAACGTAATACTGTAGTCATGCACTGAGTATACATAGCTCTAGCTAATTAGGCCATAATGCTTTAGTATTTTTGTCATGCCGTGATCTTCGAAAAAGAAGTGTTCCTGTTCCCTTAATGCGTTAAACATTCAACACGTAATGCTCTGAAATAACTGAAATAAAAACAATAAATAGCCAGTGCACTTTTGGTGAAAACAAATGATTTCCAGAAGATGAAAAATGAAGAATGAGGTAACGTGCATGCCGATATAAGAGAAGAGAGTCTCCACATGCTTTTATATAAAGGAGCGTTGCATGGCCTGTAGCAGCAGAAAACCCTCCGTCAGGCAACACTTCCTGTTTTTCCTCCAATAAGGTGCCTGGAAAAACATCCCAGCTTTTCCCAAAATGTGTCCCTGGATGTTCCGCAGAAAGACGGAAAAACACGCCTGATTTTTTTCACTGTAATCCACTCGAAATGCGCCGTCCTCATAAAACGTGTTGCTCAAATCTCAGATGGGCTTTTTTTTTTTATTGTTGAGTCTTTTGCACAAAGCCTGCGAGGTGTCGGGGAGACTTCTGGATACATTCACGTCACAATGAGCTCCTTCTGACCTCACATGGCAGTTTCTACTTCTTATCTTAAGTGCTGTGTGCGTCTGTACTCAACCCTATCACTAAACATGTAACGATGTCTTCACGTATCACACTGCACGGCGGTTTGTGCTAATCTACTTGTTTTTCTCTTTTTGTATTATTATTCCTGTGAAAGCTGCAACACGTACATTCCCTTTGAGGGAAGTGAAGCTGCACACATTTCACAAATCCTTTTTTCTCTCGTGCATCCATTTGCATCTATAAAACAGAAGAAGCTGTTTGTCTCTAAAGTTGCGTTTGAGAGAGAACAGGAAGTTGTGCACACTTTAAAATCTTGGTCAGAAATGAACATCCAAGCAACATGGAATATGGCAGTACTGATAAAGGGACACTCCCTGTTTTTTTTTATTGCATTTCTAGGATGTTTTAAAAAAATATTGGACCCAAAGATATCCTGACTTTTGTCTAAAGTTTGGTTCCTACATTTCCCATAATGCACCTCCTTAATAAGTCCCGTAATGTCTCTCCTTAGACCCTTCTTGTCCGATAAAAGCTGGTACATTTGGTCCAAATTGAAGCAGCGAGGCTGGAGATAACCTCATATCAGTCGTTCCCTAGACAGACTATTCTGTCTCCTAGTTTCTAAACGTCTTGTTTTGTCAGAGATAAAACAGAGAAGCGTGACGTCGCTCTCTGAGAGGCTGGAAACAGCGTTTTCTGACATTTCTGCATCAAAAGCTCTGATCATTGTTCCTGTCGGTCTCACAGCTCACGAACAATGAACCAGAAATCCTCCCCCGACACCTGCTGATATTTTGCACTATTGCCAAAGTCTTATAGTTTGAAGTTTTCCTCGTGAAATAACTGTTCGATATAAATTAACCAATCATGTGTGTCTCCTTTTTGAAAGTCTTTTGAATGATTCAATGCAAAAGAAGAGTAAAATGCACCAATGGAGATAAAGCATCGAGGTTATTTTTCTACAGTATTTACAGCGGCGGTGATTTCCCTTCCGGCTCACACGTCGGTGAGGAGCTTCGTCTTGTTCACGCAGTTTTGATTTGGCGCCGTGCAGTTGGCAGTCCTAAGGTTGGCCTCTCTAAAGTTATCGATGCTGTTCTTCATGTCCTCGTCTATCTCCATGTACTCCGACTTGCTGACGGCGGACGAGCTTCTGCGGCTGGAGTTGGTTTCGGACGCCAGGTTCTGGTTGCTGACGTTGAGGAGCTGCGCCTGCTCCTCGCCCTCCGTCTCGCGGTGGTAGAAGTAGTTGAAGTTGGACACGATGACAGGAACGGGCAGAGCGATGGTTAGAACTCCGGCGATGGCGCACAGCGAACCCACGATCTTTCCTCCGATGGTCACCGGGTACATGTCTCCGTATCCCACCGTCGTCATGGAGACCACGGCCCACCAGAAGGCGTCCGGGATGCTCGTGAAGAACGACTCTTTCTCCTCGGCCTCGGCGAAATACACGGCGCTGGAGAAGAGGATGACTCCGATGAAGAGGAAGAAGATGAGCAAACCCAGCTCTCGCATGCTGGCTTTGAGAGTTTGGCCCAGAATCTGAAGACCCTTGGAGTGCCGAGACAACTTAAAGATCCTGAAGACCCTCACCAGGCGGATGACTCTCAGGATAGCCAGAGAAGTTGCTTGTTCTCCGCTTCCTTTCCCGACCTCGTCCGGGTCCTCTGCCAGCTCCGTGCCCAGCGTGATGAAGTACGGGATTATAGCCACGATATCGATGGAGTTCATCATGTTTTTAAAGAACGCTGCCTTGCTGGGGCACGCGAAGAACCTCACGATCAACTCAAAAGAAAACCAGATGATGCAGAGCGTCTCCACCACGAAGAAGGGGTCGGTGAGGAAGTTGGGTTTGTAGTAAACGGTGATGTTTCCAACGACCCTGAACCTCTGGCTGGGGTCCTCCTTCAGCTCGGGTAAAGTCTCCAAACAAAATATGACTATTGAAATAAGAATGACCATGACGGAGACGATGGCGATCCCCCGGGCGGGCCCTGAACTCTCCGGGTGCTCGAAGAGGAGCCAGATCTGCCGCTGGAACTCTTTCTCTGGCAGCGGGCGCTCCTCCTCGCGGATAAATCCCTCGTCCTCGCGAAACTTCTCCATGGCCTCCGCGCCAAGTTCGTAAAACTTAATCTCCTCTGAGAACATATCCAGCGGCACGTTGACCGGCCTCCGTAGCCTCCCCCCGGACTGATAGTAGTACAAGATGGCGTCAAAACTTGGGCGATTCCTGTCGAAGAAGTATTCGTTTCGCAGCGGGTCGAAGTAACGCATCCTCTTCTTGGGGTTCCCGAGCAGCGTCTCTGGAAACTGAGCCAGAGTTTTGAGCTGCGTCTCGAAGCGAAGCCCCGAGATATTGATGACGACGCGCTCGCAGCAGTCGTGGTCGTCGTGGTCGTCGTCGGGCGGGTACAGGTCCTGCGGGTGGCCCGGCAGCGTGGAGGTCTCGTCCATGTTCTCGCAGGAAACCACGGTCATCCTGGCGGTCGGGCGGGGAAGAGGAAGAGGAGGGAGCGTGAAGGTGAAGGACAGCAGGTCGAGGAGCAGGAGAAGCCTCTAGTGAGGCCGCGAGCTGAGCACATTCTCCCTCTCCGTCCCCTCCATCTTCTCCAACATCTTCTCTCCCTCAGAGCCTGCAACAGGAAACCAGAAGGAAACAAATGGTTTCTCTGCAGGAGAGAAAAGACACCATGCGGTTCTGGAGCCCTATCTTTTTTTTTTTTTTTTACCGCATA